TGACTTACACACTGAATGTTGATCTGCCTCCAGTAAGAATAAGTAGTGATAGTAATGTTCGAACATACGTGACTCTAAAAACTATAGAGAGTGACCCATCAAAGTACCTCCATAAACATTGAGGTGACGTCTAAAGAAATAGGGCATGAATCGCTCAGTTCTATGTTGAACAATCCAAATGCACTTTATGTGCAATCTAGTGTAGGGGTGTATCCATTGCAGAATATAACAACTGACATATGTGATGCAGTTGTAAAAACATCACATCGCATGGATGAAAATTTGGTCACAATTGTTCCCATTCCTGATGCAATGAGTATAGAAGACGGCAGAGTGTTTTGCAATAAGGATGTTTTGAAATTGAGCATGTCTTTTTTTGCCATACAGAATATGTTTGAATACGTGGTAGTTCGATCGGATAAGAAGGAGTATCTAGTCAAGTGCTCACATGATGACTGCAGCTGGATATGTAGGTCTTCAAGGTTGGGAAAAACAGAGATTTTCAAAATTCAAAAGCTAACTGATGGTCACACATGTGCTTCAAACATAGTCCTAGGAGCTCACAGGCAAGTCTCAACATCTGTGGTGTCCTCATACATCAAGTATAAGTATACATCATCGTGTACTATCTACACTCCGAACGATATATGTAACGACATGTTGCATACGTATGTGGTCACAATGAATTATGTTAAAGCTTGGAGGTCACAAGAAATAACTTTGAAACTAATCAGGAGGGATCCAATAGAGTCATTTCGGAAGCTACCAAGCTACTTTTACATGCTTGAACAAATAAATCCTAGAACGGTAATAAAGTTGAAAGTCGATGGTCACAACAGATTCAAGTACTGTTTCATGACACTTGGTGCATCGATTGAGGAATGGGTCCACTGTAAGCCTGTAATAGTTGTGGACGGCACGTACCTGAATGGAGGTACTCTATTTACAGCTTGTACACATGATGCTAATAACAACATCTTTGTACTTACATTCGGTGTTGGGGATAACGAAAATGATGCATCTTGGACATGGTTTTTAGAAAACCTTAGGAGTACTTATGGTAATAGGGAAGGACTTTGTTTTGTATCAGATAGGCATAACAGTATAAAGAATGCAGTCGAATGAGTGTATCCGGGTACAACCCATGGAATTTGTACGTACCATTTGTTACAAAACTTGAAATCACACTTTTGTAAATCAGGTCACAATATAACGCAACCATTCAATTTGGCTCTTCCTGCATACACTTCGTTAGATTTCGAGTACAATATGCAACAGTTGGACACAATCAACAAGAAGATTAGATGTTACCTGGTAAG